AGAATCACAAATTTGAGGCCAGCCTCAGCAACTTAGCAAGGTCCTCAGCAACTTATTGAGAACCTGGTTCAAAATAAAAAATAAAAAAGGGATGGAAGGCTAGGGTTGTGGCTCAGTGGTAGAGTATTTGCCTCGCCATGTATAAGGCACTGGGTTCAATTCTCAGTACCACATGTAAATAAATGAATGAATAAAGGTCCATCAACAACTAAAAAAAATATTTTTAAAAAAGGGGGAGGGGCTGGAGATATTGCTCAGTGGTTAAGCACACCTATAACCTATATATATATATATATCTCAAGGAGCATTTTATAATATTCTATAATATAACCTATAACAAGACTATATTGTTTTTAATGTCGTTGTCACTAAATAATAAAGTCTGAGGAACTATTTCATATTAAAGGAATAATCTCAAATAAAACAAAATGAACTACACGATCCTGGACTGGATCTTGTGTGAGGGTAAAAATACTATAAAGGGAGTTATTGGGACAACTGACAATTTTGGAATATGGACTTTAGAGCACCAATGTTAAATTTCCTGAATTTGATAACTGTACCATGGTTATTTTAAGAGAATATTCTTGTTCTTAGGAAGTATGCATTAGAGTATTAAAAGACAAAGAGACATAATACATGCAACTGACTCTCAAGTAGTTTARAGAAAAATGAATATAGTACATATAGAGAGAGCATAATAAAACAAATGTCAAAATATTAAAAATTAATAAGTCTGAGGGCTGGGGATATGGCTCAGTGGTAGAGCTCTTGTCAAGCATATGTGATGCCCCAGGTGCAGTCCCCAACACTGAAAAAAATTAAATAAATCTGGACAAAAAGCACACATATGGGGTGGTCTCTGTAACTACTTTTGCAACTTTAAATAAGTTTGAAATTATTTCAAAATAAAAATATTTTTAAAGGTACATAAACAGAAGAAGAATAGCCAAATGAGGACCTAACATGCATAAAAACAGTTCCAAGAATCCATTTAAATACTGACT